CCACACACATACACATTTTGACATATATTCCAGATGTTGGAGCTGCCTGTCTGGTCACTAATACAAGTTCTTTTTTATTTTAACCTATTTTTCCCTTTTGGCTTTTTATTTTTCGTTATTTTGAAGCCCCACTATCAGCACACTGTTGAATTCGAGAGATATAACCATTGGTGTTTTTTAATAGGTGTAATGTGTTTTTGTTTCAGGCTCTCCGTCAGGTCTGCCAGCGAACCTTAACTACTTCTACCCGCAAGTCAGTGCAAAACAAAGTTGGAGAGAAGCAGAAGCTGTTTCAGGTATGTTCATGTTTTTTAAACCGGTTTTCACAATGTTACTTTTGGTTTGTCATGTATGCATTAAGGAAGGACTCGAGGCAAAACTTTTTTTAAAGGAGAACTATGGGGTAAGTGTTTTTCCTCAGGGTCTCGGGTGGACACAAACTAGCGTCCTCCCAAGCCCCAAAGCTCAGTATCACGAGCTACAGCTCGCAGTATACTGAGACCGCCGCAGCCAGGACTGATCTCGACATTACTGCCGAGATCCACTCAGCTGTGTGATTGACAGCTGGATCTGCCTATCTAGAGGCAGCTGTAACCGTCCCCTACCCCGTCCGTTCCTCCACTCAGCGCTTGAGGATCGGACAGGGGAGGGGGAATCCCTGCAGGGAGCCGTGAGTGACAATCACGGCTCTGCAGGGACAGAATTGAGAAGTGAGCGAGCGACGGTATGTGTTCACTCACTTCCCGATCTATTGAGCCGACCTGTGACAGTTTCATTATCGCACGTGGGCTCGAACTATGAGGTTGAGTGAAAATCACTTACCTCAGTTCTCCTTTAACCCTTGCAGTGGGGCTACCCCTGTACTGCAAGGGTTAACTGCTCGTTTTTGTCTAGGTGCTAAAGAATTATACGCACCCCAGTCACTGAGCCGGCTCCCTGCTTCTCTGGTCCCTGAAGCCTGTCTCCTACACCTCCTCATGGAAATAGCCCTGGGCGTCCTCACATCTATACACGGGGTATAGAACGTGATGATTTACGGGACCCCAGACTGCTGCAGAGGAGGGGGAGAGGCTTGTAGGATCAGGGTAAAAACAAGCCGCCTGCACGGTTTAGGTGAGTATAATTTTAACCTAGACAGAAATTAGCAGTTAACCCTTGCAGTGTGGGGGTAGCCCCACTGCAATGGCAACGGTTAATAAAAGTTCTTCAACTAAGCAAGAGGGAGAGAGGATTAGTTGGGAATATTTTATCTTAATGGCCTAATGAACCTTGTCATTGTTTCTCACACAACACAGCAGCCTGGCTTTCAATTGCTCCCTTCTCCCCTCCTCACTGCGCTAATTACTGCACTGTTCAGAGAACCTAGGAGATGTTAAATGGAGCACGTGTGTGAGCAGTGGTCCGACTTTATTTTATTCTTGCTGCAGCCCAAAGTATGGAGAACAAAACCACGTCCATACAGTATATATTGCTTTATAAACATATACTGTCTGCATTACAGTATTAAACTTCAAAAATACATTAATACACGACAAACAATTTCTAAACACCTTGGTAATGGGGCCTTCTTTCTAAAAACTCTCCCTCATGGAAGGTACCTCTGTGGTGGTTTATTCATTGGTTGCCACATGCACCTGTAGGAGAGATAACAGAGAATACGAAGAGGAACCTTGCTTTTACCCAGTAAAGCCTAATGATGAACTTTGCTTTTGCCCAGTAAAAGACTGAGTAAGCACCTTGGAGCACCTTTTGAAGTATTGTGACATCAACGGTTGAGCATCTGTCTATATTGATTAGTGAACAGAAGGTGCAAACCATTCTTGGAGGACCTTCAACCTTATCTTAAACATAACACCAAAGGCACCTTTTAGGCATGAACTATGGCCAAACCTTTTTTGGCACCAGTTCTCTTTTGGGTCACAGGAGGACATTTACTAAATGTCCTGTGACACAAAACTCAGCAAATAGGCTATTGCCTGCTATATCCTGACAGTGAAGAGCCACGCTGCAGCTGGCAAAGATCCCTGCATCATTGTTAGGATCCACCGGGGGCCCTGAGTGACAGCTGCCTCTGGCCACCCCCTCCCCTGTTCATCCCTCCGGTCAGTGCTGGAGTAACAGATGGGAGGGGGAATCCCTGCAGAGAGTGGTGACTGATGGTCACTTCTTTCTGCAGGAAGAAGATTGTGAACTAAGTGACCAGCGGTTTGTGATTGCTTAGTGCTATATTGCTGAGGTGTGATGCTGTAGATGCTGCTCTAGTTATGGGGATGAGTGCATTACACTCCATAGTTCTGTAAAAATGTTTAGCAACACCAGTCTGCAAACCGATCATTTCTGTCTTTTTTTTATTCTTTGCATTCCTTATTTTTCTTTTTGTTTCCCCTTCCTCACACAGTGGCCATTTTCACTAAGGACAGATTAATCCAGGGGTGCCCATTAGGTAGATCGTGATCTACCAGTAGCTCTCAAAGCTGATGCTGGTAGATCACGAGGGGCTGAATGGCGGCCCCTTTATTCCATTTTATTATGTATATTTCGCTGTGCACACATGATTACCTATTAGCCTGAGTCTGCTGAGCCAAGCTCCCTGATACCTTTCTGGTGGATACTGATGTTTGAAGTGCTATGTATTACATCAAAGAATATTAGTTTACACAGCCTGTGGCACTGCACTGTTTGCAAAATACAGCAAGGTGAGCCAAGGGGATGGGCAGGGAGAGACGGCCAGGGGGATGAACAAGGAGACAGCCAGGAGAGGGAGGAGAGACAGCCAGTCGAGGGTTTTTTTTCGTTGGTAGATCTCATGTAGCTCGTTATTTGAAAAGTAGATCTTGAAGCAAAATTGTGGGTACCCCTGGATTAATCCATCTCCCTCTACTTCCTGGAACTCTGTCTGCCTCCTTGAAGGTCTGACAGTGTATGACAGTGTACATTATCTCGGGGTGGAAAAGTCTTTCCTCCCATATCTTGTGAGATTTTGCAGTTTACAGATGAGATTTTCCCAGATAGCACTGGTGATGTAGCCTTCTTAGCATGTGTTTGTGAGGCCAGGGCTACATCACCAGTGCCAACTCGACCAGGACGTGGAGAAACAGTAATTGTAAATTAAAAAGTGATCTAATTTCATATCGGTATGTGGAGCTGCTTGCTTATGTGGTGTTTAGTGAAAGTGGGGAAGGGGTACTTTTTTAAGTTGGGTTTATCATAGGAGTATATGCAGCATTTGCATAAGACTACTTCATGAAAATTCTGCTGGTGTAGCTGTCTTTGGCTTCAATATTTTGATTTGTTTATCTGGGACAAGTTTGCAGCCAGTGAAGTAAGAACTGTGATGCATAGAGGTTTATGGTCAACTGCTCCTACAGCGTGGAAGCAAGGAGGATAGCATAACAGCCATACATCTATCTTTTTAGAAGAAAAGGACAGCAGAGTCGGCCCCTGTATTTCTCAATAAAGGAGTCCCATGAAGATGGACATAAGGGAGCTGCCAATTTGCATGTGTTTTTAAAAGGTGCTGATCAAGGACAGTCATCCTAATCATGGTCTTTAACCTCTTGCCGTCCGCCCGTAGTAGAAAAACGGACGGACGGCACTGCTGCATTGGCGGGTTGCCGTCGCCAGACGGCATTTTTTTTCTGCTCGCGCGCACGCAATTTTAAGGCTTGACATGTTTGGTGTCTTTTTACCCGACGTGACCCCGTCTTTTATATTTTACCAAAAAATTGGGTAATAATAAATGTTTTATCATTTAATATAGGGGAAACTGTTTATTTTTTTTTTTTTTAATTTCGGTGATTTTTCCTTTTTAATATAGTAAAAAAATAAAACCCCCAGTGGTGAATAAATACCACCAAAAGAAAGCTCTATCTGTCCCCAAAAAAGGGTATAAAATTCATTTCAGTACAGCGCTGCATGACGGAATAAATGTCAGTCAAAGTACCGCAGCGCTGAATACTGAAAAACGGCCTGGATGGGAAGGGGGTTTAACACCGCGGATGTCAACTGGTTAAACCTACTGAGTCACTGACTGTGACCAAGCATGATGCTAGTTGAGGACAGTCATGATGATACTGGCCTCCTTACCTACTGAGTAAGAACAAGCATAGTGCTAGTTGAGGGCCGCCATGAGGTTACTGGCCTCCTTACCTAGTGAGTCACTGAGTGGGAACCAGCAGAGTGCTGGTTGGAGATGGTCGCCATGATCCTGGTTTCCCTACCTAGTGGTTTGCGACTAGGAACGAGCATAGTGCTAATTAAGAGCAGTCATCATGATCCTGGTCTTTCCACCTACTTAGTCACTGACTGTGATCAAGCATAGTGCTAGCTGAGGGCAGTCATCCTGATACTGGCCTCCCTACCTAGTGAGCTACTGACTGGGAACAAACATGCAGCCAGTGAAGTCGTAAACGCATGACGTCTGTGGATTGGATTTAATATTATTTTAGAGTTTTCTGGCTATGCTTGTTCATAGCCAGTGACTCACTGGGTATGGTGTTCAGGATTACACTTCCAGCCTTGGGACCTGCACCCTCTTTTAAATAAGCCAGCATTGGCAGATTGTGTGAGATTTATACTTGACGTAACAATCCGTTTAGGCACAGCGTGAACATTTTATTATAATAAACTAAAATGAGTTGGTGTCCTATGCATGTAAACATTTCTTTTTCCTTTTTTACAGGAAGATAATGGCATTCCAATTTACATAAAAGGAGGGGCTGGTGATATCTTATTGTACAGAGTGACCATGCTAATCACTGGTTTTGGTAACTATGCATCATTCTCCTTTTTTTTTAATCTGGTCACATGATCTTGCTTAAGATATCTCAGTATAGCAGGTGAGATCGCTTCAAAGACTCAAAATGGTAACATAAGTCATGTGAAATGGATGAGGTATACTCTGCAAAACCCTCAATGGTAGTAACACAAGATGGTACAATGTTCTCATTGGCCACTATGGGGGGAGGAGAGGCACTGATTTACCACTATAGCCCACTGTACATTTTTACAGAGTTCAGAACAAAGATGATGTATAAAGAATGCTAGCTGCAGAGCCATTGTGTAAAAGATGAGGCACATTGATTAGGGTGAGGATTACTATAGATGGGGAGGAATAATACCAGTTTGAAGTGAACCTGCCACTAAACCGGGGAAATCATATAGGGTGTCACAATGCATACATGCAGTTTACCTTTAATAAATACTGAAACTCAGAAATATAGATAGCCAAAGAGCAGCAGTTTTTTTTTTTTTTTAGACCTTGATTCCTGCAAACAAAAATTTGCTTGGGCCCCTACTTTGTCTCTGGAATTTTCCTACTGAATCTTTGTAAATGTACATCTTTTAGATAGTGTCTAAAATCCATTTACTAGCAACAGCAGTATTACAAAATGTTATGTTAAAATGTTTTGTAGTAATGCATATGGAGAAAATGTATATCTCGATGCACATTGTGTTTTGTCCTTGGTTGCATTTTTCCGTAAGTAACATTTTGGTAGGAGCTTATAGCCGGAGATTACTGGAATGTACTGGAGCATAGAGATTAGACATGTGCGATTCGTTTCGTTCCGAATCGAAATTCGGATGAATTTTTGGAAATTCGGATGTATCCGAATTCCGAATTACAGACATAACGAATGCAAACGAATCCGAATTTCCATTTCCGAAATTTGGTAGCGTTATTACGAACGTTCGTTTAGTTTTCTGTTCTTATTCATTTCTTATTCGTTTTGTTCGTTGGAGCAAAGTGACATTAGAGAAGGAGAAAAATATTTTTTCCCCCTCGAATGTCACGAACGAAACGAATAAGAACAGAATAAGAACAGAAAACGAAACGAACGTTCGACCTAATGCTACCGAATTTCGTCCGATTCCGAATCCGAATTGACTTTCACACCCGAATCCCGAAAAACGAAATAACACAAATCCGAATTTAAAACGAAAAAAAAACGAATTTTTTTGGCAGTGCACATGTCTAATAGAGATGTCTGGCTTAAAGTGACACTAAACTCAGGAGTTAAATCTTAAAAATACATCCAAGTACCTAAACTATTAAGAATGTTTGTTGTTTGTGTATCACTTGGCTGTAGATCCTCAAATCATCTCTGAATTGGTGATGACACTGTCCTTCCTTCTGGAGGTTGGCTACTTTTGTTCCCCATTGTCCTTTCTTCCCCATTGTGTGTTTTGTAAAGTAGCCACCACTCCAAGCTCACTCCTGTGATACACAAATAAGCTACATTTTTGTTAATTATCAAGATACTTGAATGCATTTTTTATATTTTAACTCCCGAGTTCAGTGTCTCTTTCATTTTTGGTTTATTCTGGGAAAGTAAAGAAGAAACTAGTTATATACTGCCACCTAGTGGCTCATTTGTACTATTACAGTATATTCCATAATGACAATGTTTCACTGTCGGCCAAGAAGTTTGGCATTTAAGTGATAGTTTTGCACTCACAAAAAAAGGTAGTCTTTCTAAAATACTGCTGTAGGGGCATACCACTAGCTCACTGCACTTCTTTACCTGCTTTATATGTTAGTCTGTACACTGGAAAGCTAGTCCTTTTTTGTTTTTTGTTTTTTTTCTGTTTGTTTTTTTTTACCATTGGATAAAATTTGAGATTTACTTTCATCACTTTTTTGTTTTTGTTTTTTCAGGAACTTGTTATGCTTTATATTTAATCGGCAACGCTTCATTGCCTCCCAAGAAATGATTCCACGTTAAACCTGAAATGATTCCACGTTCAACCTGAACTTGATCAGTCTGTCTCATTGTGATGTATCAGGGATTGATCTGTCCTTGTCATAAAGATGTGATTAAACTGTGGGAACAATATTTATTAAAATTCCGTATAAACTGCTAGGAACATGGCAGTTTTGCATTACTAATTTGTGGTGTCACTTTTTTTTTTTTCTTCCAACAATGTGTATAGTAAGCTTTTGCATCTAAAAAAATTTCCTTTTAATATACATAAGTACAGGTCCTGACAATTCTACTATCTAACAAACTGAAGAGAGAAGCTGATTGGTTATTTTATGGCATACTGACCTGGCCAGCTGGAAGCACTTTTGTAGGTCCGTATGCCATACGTCCTTTGCAGCGAAAGGGTTAAACCTGGATACCCAGGCCAATTACAGTATTCATTGGTTAACCTCATAGCTCTTGACTTTTTTTTTTTGCCTTGCCAAAACAATTTTTACATGGGTCTTTAGGGCTATATGAGGCTTTTCATTGGCACACAGTTTCACACTTTTTTTATCTAGTTGAATTTTTTTATTAACTACTTCCTGTGGGTTCACGTAATTGTACGTCATCTGCTGGAAGTGGTTATAGCAAGAACATGGCGGCTGCTGCAGCCCTGTTCTTGGTACCGTTTTTTGAAACGGCAGACCATTGCTGTTTAAATATAAGTGATCCGGCGTCTGTACAGGCACCCGATCATTTGTACGGTATGGCGCCCTGTCCACCATACCCCCCTCCGTGGCCACTGGTGCTGCCGTCGGCTTCCCGGGCTCATCTGTCCCTCGTGTGAGCCCGGGACCAGTGTGGAGGGTCTCCCCTGAGAGATCAGCGGCTTCCAGCCGCTGATTTCTCCTCCGATCACTGGACCTGGATGTGATGTGCATTACATCACTTCCGGTGTCACTGTACACAGTCTTCGGCCCTTAAAGCCAGAAGAAGCCGATGAAGCAGATCTCTTTGTAGTTGCAGACCCCTGATGTCCCTAGGTGACATTAGGGGTCTGCAATTACATGCTCTGCATTGTGGTGTGCCACATTAAAGGGGCAGGTTTGCTTTTGTCCCATTTTGTTAGCAGCCTGTTCAAATTGGCTGTCATATCACACCACAATGGACTGAAATTGTGACCGTCCTTAACCAAAGGAAGGGAACAGCTTGGTTGAATGGGTTCTTCCATCAAGTATTTTACAATGCTTTTAAAGCAGCAGTATTATATATTTTTTTTAATGCAAATTCTTTGAGGTTTTACATTTAAAATTGTGCATATGTACCATTTTGCATTATCCATAATTTCATTATCCATCTTACCAGGGCTTGAGAAATCCGCTCGTCCTCTTGTCTGCGACAAGAGGACGGCAGAGCCGGACGAGTAGCTTCCCAGCCGGCCGTTTTAATTACACGGCCAGCCGGGAGCTTTACATTCAAGCGATCAGGCATCTAGAGATGCCCGATCGCTTGTATTAGCAGCTGCTGTCACTGCCATTGCCGGTCCCGAGATCCGCTTAGCCCAGTGCAGCCGGGACAGGCACTGCTGCTCTGTGATAGGAGATCAAAGAGATTGGTACATAATCTCCTCTCCGGTCCCCGATTGCAGGAAGTCATGTATATTACATGACTTCCGCATTCTGCGGTCACTCTCCAGCTTAAGAAGCTGATCTCTGCTTCATCAGCGTCTCTTTGGGTCCCTAGGTGACACTATGGGTGTTGGGGACCCCTGATGTCTCCATAAAAAAAGGAACTGTCATGTTAATTGGCTATCGCATAGGGAGCTTCTTAGCCCCCAATGTGGTAGCAATAAAGTTAAGTGTAAAAAAATAAAGCATAAACAAAAATTGAAAAACCACATTGTTTTTAAAGTCCCCCTCCTCCCACATACACACGCAAACATATGTCGAGTGTGCCTATGTGCAAAAATGATGATTGCGCTGCTCATGTTACATATCACCGTTTTTTGCACCTTTGCGTCTGCACACAATTTTAAGGTTTGACTTCTTTGGTGTCTATTTACCCAACGTGCCCCCGTCTTTTATATTTTACCAAAAATATGGGTAAGAGTAAATGTTTTTTTACATAACGTAGGAAAAACATATTTTTACCCCCAAAATTTACGGTACTTTTTTCATTATATAGTAAAAAATTTAAATCCCTATGGGTGATAAAATACCACCCAAAGAAAGCTCTTTATCCCTAAAAAAAATGTTAACATAAATTGCAAGGCTATAGTCCAGTCATGCTGACTGGTGAAATGTTTGACTGACTGGTCAACACACGCAATTATTTTTTTTCAGGCTTGTCACCTTAAATGAGGGATACATGTTTTCTTTTGGAACATAGTTACATAGGTTGAAAAAAGATACAAGTCCATCAAGTTCAACCTATACATGGATTTAGTCCAGGTCAGCAAAAGAATAGAGAGAGGCACCTGGATGTCACTAGAGCATTGGTCCACAAGTTCATCTGTTCCTGGTAGGAGTGAGTGCTGGAGGGGAGGCTTGGGTCAATGGATTGCTTAGGAGTGGCATAAAAAAAAATACCATAAGATCGATTACTTTTCATTAGTGATGAGCCGAACACTCCCGTATTCGGTTCGTATTTGAACGGCCGAAAAGTTCGAATACGAACTCAATGCAAGTGAATGGGGGTCGAACGTTCGAAAATGAATGTCCCCTTTAAGAGGGCTTATACAGGCAGTCCCCGGGTTATGGACAATCCGTACTTACAAAACGGGTCCACAGTTCTCATAAATGTACCAGCAGCTGCCGGTACATTTAGGGGGACTGTGACTGCAGCGGCCTGTGTACCTTCTAATCCCCTCTGCTCTCAGCGCCTGTGTTGGTGGGGACACAGACCACTGCATGCCTTCGCTGCTGTCCTGGCCTCCGGTCCCCTGGTCCGTCGGCTTCTTCTCCGATCCGGTCCGGCTGCTGCTCCTCTGCCCGGTCCCCCTGCCTCCTCTTTCTCCTCTTCATTGCAGCCTGCTATTGGATATTGTAAAATGCAATAGCCAATAGCAAGCTGGTTGTTGCACCCGCCCACTGACTGCTGTCAATCAGCATGGGGGGACATGATAGAGAACTTTCTCCTTCAGGCCCCTCCTCTGCTGAGCCCTGATTGGGCAAAGTCAGGTGCAAGACTTTAACAAATCAGAGCTTCAGTGGGCATTTTACATTATGGAATGTCTGCGGTCGAACAAACCGCGAACATCCCATAAAGTTCGGCGAGCGCTCGAACTGCTGATGTTCGATGTGAACTCATGTTCGAATCGAACACTCGGCTCATCCCTACTCTTGATCACCAGATCTGTGATTAATCTTTTTGGGAGGCTGTCCCATGAAGTGTGCATAGACCTATGTGTTAGTCACATCTTATCCCGTAAGTGCAGTGTCCGAAATAAAAGTTGTAATAATCTAATAGAAGGCACAGCTTTATAGTATACAAGCTACGTAGTGGAATCCAGAGACTGAAAGGATTAAGCATGCTGTCAAGTATTGTCTAGGAAATTCTTGATTTGAAGGTTGGCCTTATTTGGTTCCAGTAAAGCCATCCAGGAAGAGTGAAAACCAAAATTGGGTTTTTACATCATAGTAATAAAAATGACAGGTTCTCTTAAAGTGGTAGCAGAGATTTAGGGGGAAAAGCTTTTAGCATTTAGCAGCGACCATTCTTGTAAAACCAAATCCCATTGTTAGCAAACTGTAGATCTGAACGGGATGCTCTAAAGAAATAATGTTTATAACATATTTTTGACTGCCTTCTGGTATGCGGTGATGATCGATTGTTAGTAAACTTGTAACTTTCTGCTTCTGATGTTGCTTACAAAAGTGTGTTTGCGGTATTGTCATTAACTCGGCTAATGTTTATGGGACTCAGGCCAGAAACTGCACAGTTGTTCCAAGATCCTCTATTAAAATGATGATTGCTGAAATGTTTATAAACAAGGTTCACATTCACAAGAAAGAAGTCATATCTTTGTGTAAATAACTGATTGAATAGATCAAAATGTCAAAAGCCCAGATTAAAGAAAAAAAATAACCAACGGGAACACTGATTAGATTTTTGGAACATGCAACTTAATCCAAACTTGTTTATGGAAGTAGGTTATTGTTTTTTTTTTTTTTTAGAGATGTTGGGCACTTTCCATATTATGTTAAAGAAGAACTCCAGCTTTTTATAAAACAAACCCTTGCAGTGTGGGGCTTTCCCCCACACTGCAAGGGTTAAGTGATAATTTTTCTATAGGGGCCAGAATAAAGAAGATATACAGTGGTACCTCGGTTCACAAACGCTTCTGTTTGCAAACAATTCGGTTCGCAAACAGGAAGTTCAGCAAAATTTTGCTTCCGTTTACGAACTCCGCATCGGATGCCGAACACAACCGCAGCCATCTTCCATGCTCTGACGCATGGTCGTAGCTTTCTCTAGTCGAGATTGCAGTCTGATCACAGTTTGATTAGGTTCGCGACCAGAATCGTGGAACAAATTAATTTCGTGAACCGAGGTACCACTGTACATGTCTGATCCTTGGTCCTGCGGCAGTCAGCACTCCCCTCTCTTTCCTCTGTTCCAGCAGTGGTGTGTTCCTCGGCATCCCCACGTCTAATGCAAGTCTATAGAACCTGCATTGGATGTGATGACGTCAATGGTCCTAAGATTGCCGGAGCCCAAGGAAGAAGAGGTTTCTTTAAGAACTTTTTTTTAACCTATCGGATCTATATCCAGCACCTCATCGAAAGTGAGGTTCAAATCCCACATTTTTGACATGGTATATACTGAATGTATTTCTTCTCACTTGTTTGCATGCTGAATCCACACATGAACTATGGAGCTTAATCTGGTCTATAGAAGTCTATGTATTGTCAAAATGTTTATATCTTATCTATTGAGGATAAATGCTGCTTGGAAGAGTTGCTGCAGAATACCCGCTTAGCCACCTTTCCAGAGCTCGGTAGGTGGCCACCTTTCATGGCCAGTATG